GTATATCAGCCTTATCCTGCAAGATCAAGTTACTTTTGCATCTTAAGTGCTGAGGTGTCCCACAGTCTCTCACCTGCATGGTACACAAAGGTATGGTGGCTTTTCTTTGTTCTGGTCAAGCACAAATATTTGCACACAGGAAAATGCTTTAGCTCTGCAGACCAATACATCAGCCACCTGCCTAGAAAAGCCAACACCTTTCTGCGCTGAGACGGATACGTAGGGGAGGATCCTGTTCCGTCAGTTCTCAAATTCCTGTGCCTCACCTCACTGATGTTAAGTCCACGTTTATTTGACTACCCTTGGTCTGATTACAACAGATAAGTCCAGATAGTAAAGCAGGCATGGATACGTGAACATGTGGTAATAAAGTTCTCTTCCTGGAATGTGTCGTGTTCGTAGCAAAGGCAGAACTCAGAAGTCTTTTATACAAAACATGGGCTTCCACAGGTGATGCTATATTATGCTCATGTTAATATTAGCATCCATACATATAGTATACAGGTTATGAATTCTGTAAAAGCACACAGTCTACACAGGTAGGCTTTCTCAGCTATTGGCCCTTATATTGTGACTGAATTTATTCTGTGTAAAACAAATGCTGCTCTTACATTCGCATTTTCAGTCTTTTTTTCTCTTCCATCAGCTCTAATCCAAACAGCAGAGGTCAAATAAACCTGGTTGGTTTAGTTCAAGTTAACCAAGGACCAAAAGGAACGGTTACCAACTCTTTCTTAAGAGAGGGAAGTAAAGAGTGTGAATAAAAATCTGCCCACTAATATGAAAAAAGCTGTGTGGCACACAAGCAGACAAGAAGGGAAGAAAAGAGGGAGTAGTGTCTCATGCCATTCATTTCAGAGGAAAAAAGGGGAAGAATCATGTTTTGTCTGCCATTGCACAGGCTACAGACGTATTATCCCGAGCAATGAGACTTTAATCTGAGATCTGAGTTTCTGTTCCATCAGGAGAGATATTACCTGGCAAAATAATCTTCAAAGAGGAGAAGGTAGAAAGATAGTAGCAGCTGTAAAATTAAGGATGAATGCTGAACTAAGCTGTGAGTGGAAAATATGTGTGCAACATACAGGGTGGTTTTTACCTGAATATCTAGCTCCACCAAAAGGACTGGATCTGAATCTTTAAGAATCACAAAGACAGTCCCATTTCTCAAGGCTATGGCTGAGAACAGATTTCAGCCTGGTATGGTGTTTTGAGAAGGGAAAGAAGAGGGTGAAACCCCCTTTAGTCGCTTTGCAAAGTAGATCTCATCGGACACAGAGGAATTCGTGTGCCTGTGACATTTCTGGAAAGTGGCTGCTGTCTGCTTGGATGGGTGGTTTGTCAAAGCTGTCAAAAACTTCTGCAGTGGAAAATACTGTTCTAGATTATAGATGCAACCAGTATCAATAATACCTTTGGAAATTAATCCACATTTTCTTCAAATGTTAAAATAACATGCATTGCAGTGTAGATATAAAGGGTAACTTTCGTTCAAGAATGAAAGTCAGTGACCATTGATCATTCTGAAAATTTTATTATTTATAAGATAGTATTTAATTCTTATAGTTTATTTCCTGTCTGCTGGCTCAATGTCAAATGTCCAAAATAAGGAGAACAACAGTAAACTTCTAGGCCCAGGGCTTGCATTACTTGTTTCTTCCACAATCCCAGTAAATGATAATTCTACCATTTATTTTCTGTTACAGCACTGAGGTAAGTCAGACTATGGAGCTTAACGTTCCTGAGCCCAGGCAAGTTCTGGACTGTGGTCCTGAATCACAAACCTTTTGGGATTCCAGCTTTGTGGATTCTTGACAGCCATCTCTTTGCTTATGAATAGATCCACTAAAAACAGTGACCCAAATGTAATCCCGAAGCATGCAAATGTTTGTGTAAAATAATAGTCAACATACAACTTTCAGATCAAGCAAGTTGACATCCATCTGCTCATAGTTGAGTAGAGCATAGGATATATACAGGAGTTCAGTGTTTCTATAAGGACCAAGATGTATTTGAGTTGAGTATCTAGTCTTTTAACTTGATACCCTACCTGCTGCATCATAGATGCTAAGAGGGAAGCATGACAATACTATCCATTTTAATATAAACCTGCACCAGCCGAAGTAAATAGATACACATTTGTATATTATTAGCAATTTTTATCAGTAGTGAAGAATGAATAAACTTGATTTTGACTGAGTGGGGGTAGCCAATATGCGCCATCTCCAGAGAAACCAGAGCAAAGTCTACACATCAGGATTTCTCAGGACAGTAAATTCACTGAGGGCAATCACAGGCATGAGATGTGGTTTCAGTTTGGTAACCTTATCTCGGAGAAACTACAGCATGTCCTTTTATCTAGGAATAGCTCTTGCACGTTAGCTATTCACTTGCTGAGCACCACCCCTCGTCTCTATAACCCTGACGGTTTAAATTGTAAAACTAAGGTAAGACCCTGTTGCTGTGTATTATGTTGCTTTTGCAATTTTGCTCCAGTCAGTTAAACAAGCAGGTCTTGTTTTCTATTCACTGAAAGTAGTGACATATTTTTAGCTGATAATTCTCTAAAAGCAGTTAAATTAGAAATCCAGCTAAATAATCCCACTGAGTTGGGATTGCTGACTTCACAGAACGGGTGAGGTTGGAAGGGACTTCAGGAGGTCACCTGGTCCAACCCCCTGCTCAAGCAGGGCCACCTAGAGCCAGTTCCCCAGGACTGTGTCCAGATGGCTTTTGAGTATCTCCAAGAATGCAGACTCCATCACCCCCCTAGGCAACCTGTGCCAGTGCTTGGTCACCCTCACAGTAGAAAAATGTTTCCTGATGTTCAGACGGAACCTCCTGTGTTTCAGTTTGTACCCATTGCCTCTGGTCCCATTACTGGCCACCACTGAAAAGAGCCTGGCTCTGTCCTCTTTTCACCCTCCCTTCAGGTATTTATATACATTAATAAGATCTGCCCTGAGCCTTCTCTTACAGAGTTACATTGATGTGACATCAGGCTGCGTTTGTGGCTTCCCTCTCTTTAGTATAGAAATGTATTAACATTTCAGTGTGAAGAGTGACAGCCGTCAGCACAAAAAGGACATCATCCCTGGGTTTGGGCTGTATATACGTGCATGTATCTACTTAACAGGAAAGAAGAATTAAAGTGCTCATCCACTGCATAATCCCAGAGGATCCCTCAGCATATTTATGCTTTTCAGCGTTCGTATGTGTGAGGATGCCCTTCTTTTACTGAAAGACTGATGGAATATCTGGACTGACTAGGGTAATCCAGGAAAGTAGTCTTTTATGGCAGACACTGTTATCTTTGCAATTAATGTAATAGTAGTAGGCAAGGGAACAAGAATACCATGGGCAAAGATGTAATTACTAGAGTTAAAGGGAGGACAACAGGTTTGTTTTGCAGCTGCTTTCCAGATCTGAAATGGTTAGTTTTTGTTTCACACTGGAATAAAAGCATAGTCATGCAAATACTTCCACAAGTGCAGCCTTCCCTCAAATATCCATCCAGAGCCTGAAACTAACTTAGTCTTCTGAATCTTAAGTAGGTGAAGCAGGCTTTGGCTAATAGTGTAACTATCCCACATTTGATTTCCTGCCTGAGTTAGAGCAGAGATTGTTTCAAGCCAATGTCTCCCGTGATCTCAGCTGATGTTGAAAGTGAATGTAAGGAGGGAAAAAATTTCCCTGCAATATGACAGCAAAGACCCACCACTTTCCACCTAATCTTTTGGTAATATTTTGAATCTGCCATACTTAAGCATTTCCTATTTTGTGCTGTGCTTCTCCCCAAAGTAAATCTTCTCTTGACCCTACTTTAAAAGTTCTGCCATGGCTATCCTGTGTTATCCCTGACAGCTAGCTCACATCCCTTTCTCCTGAACATCTCTGGCATGCTCAAAAGAGGGTGTGCCCACAGCCTGGGTAATGTTGCCAAATCCGGAATAGATATGGACATAAATTAGTAGAGCTAAACACAACTCAAAGGAATGTGATTACCAGTTTAATTTTGTTTCTAGCATTTTCCCATAGGTTAAAAAAAATCATTTAACTGATTATGAAGACAATATACTGTTAATGACTAATACAAACATTTTTTTTCTCTTAGTGTAGAGGTCATTTATCACCACTCTGTTGGAATATACCCTTATATCCAAATTTTACATAATTATGAAGACATAGATAGGCACAATATAACTTGTTCATGACAAATTAATACTAGGTATTGTAAATTAGCAAGGCTTGTCCAAAGATCTCCTTCATCTTTTATATGTGTATTTAGGCAGCATCATAGGAAATGGCAGGTAGCATGAACAAGTGACACTGGTGCTTTGCACATAACATAACTTATGTGCTTTTACTGCAGATGTCTTGCTGTCTTACTCTAATAAAAAAGCACATTGCTGGGATAACAAACTATTTCAACTAACTTCAGCTATTTACTCAAAACAGGCATCCACCTTTGCATATGGTGATCCTGGAGAAATTTTGTGAAGACTGTATGTACAGACTCCCTCACTAAACTGCCACCACGATGTCTGGATTGGGATGCTATAGAAAAAGAGGGAATGACCTGGGATGAGCTTCACATGACTCAAGTACCATTTAAATGAAAAGAGCTAGGACAAGCCTGCTCATTTTTCCCATACCAGACTTTATAAGCATCACTTAGCCTGAGGTGTGGAGTTCTGGGACTATCTCCTTCCATGTCTCTTGCTTCATTGTATCTTTATCATAGCAAAACCTGTAGTTGCTATTTGATGATTATCACCTCACTGAGACCACATGCTCAGTGTGAAATGTCTGTTCTGTTTTCAGCTATCAGCATGATAGTTAAAGGATTATACAGAAGAAAGCTAAGCCCAGGTCACTGATTTTTTTTCTATATAAGCTATTCCAAAATCTATAGGAAGAGCCTTCCTGTCTGATTTGCCAGCAAAATTTCTTTTCCTTTAATGAGAAATGAGTGCATAAAGCAGAGTTACACTAGCGACTTACAAGCTTCTTGCAATAAAAATAAAAATTAGGAGCTGAGATGCAGCTATTAACAAATTGCAAATAGACATCAAAAAGATTGGTTATAACTCTTGGTCAGAAGTCATAGCTGACTTAAAGTCATAGCTGGATTGATAAAATACAGCTCAAAGTTACTGCATCTTAAACCATCACTTTCAGTTATTCAGATAACTAATTTCAAAGTGTTTAATAGATTTCTCCTCTTGTTTTCCAAATGGACACAGTAGGTTTTTTATGTTTATTCTTCAAATTGTACATATAAATTTCTTATGAAATCTGATATACCAAAGCTGCTTGGTAAGAGTTCAAAATGATAGTAGAGACAGAGAGGTTAACTAAAATATTTGAAAATGTCAGGTTTCCTAGTGCAGCTTCACCTCGTAGAGGCTATGGTCATTTCACTATTGCTGGTTACAGTTCTGTCTGAATGAGGCGTAGTGCTTTCTTCATGTTCTCTATTACTGAAAGAAAAATAAATAAGAACTGTAAAAAAGTACTTAAAGCACATTTGTACAAATAAAAAACCCACCTAGTTTGATTAGTAAATTGTTCACATTGAAATTAATTTATGGTCACACATTATAATTTAGAGCTTTCTATTGTGAAAATTCTCGCATTGATACTAAAGCAGAAGGTAAAAAGTTTTGTGAATCAAAATGTTTAACTTAAAAGGATTTGACAAGGCTCCTTTCAACTCCCTCACTTCTCAACAGCAAGCCTGGTAATCAGATAAAAAGTGCATATTTGTGGTGAGATACTGCATTGCTGTCGGATAAAGGGTATAGAGAAAGGACTAGCTCAACCTGAAAAATCACATTCCTTTCTGAAATATGGGTGTTAGGTGGTACCCAGATAACCACCAGCATTTCTTTTCTGATTCCCTCACACCACTGGCTGTTCACATTGCGCAGTTAGATACCTTTGAGCATAGTGACTTTCACCATTCTCCAACAAACTGCTCAGATCTTGATCCTGAAAGTTCCCACCCCTGATCTTTCAACTTGTTTTACCTGAGTAGTCCCAATAAATTCAATGGGACAATAGGTGTGCTTAAGTGTTTTGCTAGAACAGGTTAGATTATTATAATTTATTGCAAATGCTTACACACAGTCCTTATTCATTGCTTTGAGATCTTAATGGGTTCTCAAGCACAAATGATTGGGATGGGGTGTATCTGGCTGCTTACGGTGTGAAATGTAAAGTAACACAATGAAGGGGGCACTTACAGAATGGTATGTCTTGTGGTTCGTAAGTGTAAAGCCGGTTAGAGTATCTTCCTGTGATATCAGCTCTTACTGTGAGAGATGGGTCTGAAAAAGTAATCATATTAAACACTGCTTTCCATTCCCACAACAGGGAACAACAGTTCTCTCAACAACATCTCTCAACAACAGTTGAGGGCGATGTGAGTGGTGCTACTTTGACAGCCCTGTTTTTGAGGTGTTCTGTTTTCATCAACAAGGCAATTACAAGGCCGTTACGCTCTGTTCCAACCAACTGCTCTTGGAGAAATCCTGAACAAAAGCTAATGCTCATTTTTATATCATGCAGCTATTTTAAAGTGATAGATTACACATGCATTTCATCCACATTTCAAGAAAAATATCCTGTTTTACAAGTTCTGGGGTTACGTCAGGGGAGGCCGGTTTGACTGGATGCACACATAGTGAAGGTCTTGCGTACATAACGCAGTATTATGTAGGTCATTAGCATGACCTACCTAGAGCCTTCAGAATGAAAATCTTGTGATTCTTAATGTTTCCGTCATAGGAGCAAGTTGTTGTGGACATCTCTCCTCCCAGTTCCCCTTCCAAGCTTTTTGTTAACTAACTGACTCCTGTTACTACGTTGCTCTCTGTCTGAGTGTGGGCTTCATCTCACCTAACTTTGGATGCCACCACAGAGCTAGTCACTCTAGGCTCCCTGTACAGTCAGTGAAAAGGAACAGGCAGTCCTTTGACCTATTGCAGAAGTCAGCTTTACGATGGGATAAATCATTCTTTAGATGCCACTGACTACTGGCTTGCTCTGTGGTAATGTCCACACTGTAGACATCTACATTCAGTCAGATATTTGACTGTTTTCAGTAAACTTTGTCTTATAACAGCACTAGCAAGAAGCATGGAGAGCAAAAGCCCAGATGCTAATGGACATTTAAGCGTCCTGCTCCCAAGCACAAATTAAGTACCCTCCAGCACATATCTGTAACCTGAGGAATTTTACGAGGGTCAAAGCCTGCGATAGAGGGAGAAATGAACTCAGATCTGCCAAGTTCCAGACTAATGCCATAGTAATGACAAATTTTGAGCTATTTTCTTTTTTTCAAAATTAATCATTTTGATGTCCCCAAAGGAGGACACTGGCATAGATTCAGATATCACATCTTTGAAGATATATAAATATTGTACATACCTACAAACATGATTCGAGGCACGTATTGTCCATCAGGTGACAGATTTTTATCTGTGGTTTCATGCTGGCAGAGAAATTAAAGCTAATTATTAAAATATTTCTGTAAATTTTGATGCAGTAGTACCACCTGTGAATAGTCTTGTGCCAGAGGACAAAACCAAAAAGGTACTACTTGTGTGTGGATACACATGCACAAATGCCTGTATTTACATGTTACTGAAATGCCAGAGATAGTTAGCTAAAATGACATGAAAAAGCAAGACAAAGAAAGAGAAAACACAAGCCAAAAAAAGATCCAAGTCAAACCTCCCCAAACCCTTCATACCATGAGATTCAGCATAACGAAGTTATTTTGGGCCATTTCCTGTATCTCTTCATTTTCTGCAAAAGCTTTCTTCAGTGCTAGAAAAGATACGGTCATTTTGAAGTCCATCACAAATAGTGCCTTTCCTTCTGCGTTTAGGCACCATGTTGGCTGGAGACTGGCCACATTGTTCATGTCTCTGCTGATTCACATTCCTGAGGAGACACCTAAGGGCTCTATCGCTGCTTTTTGTTTTTCTGACCCATGTCAGTACAACCTCCCGGCTATGAAAATGGAAGCTCTTTTCTGTTATTTATGAAGCCTGCCTCAATGGATACCATGTCTCAGCTTGACAAAAGTGCATTATTCTCAGAAAATTCTTACTAGATCGATTTCAGCAGCCCTGTCCTCGTCTCCTTCTCTAGTTACCAGTTCAGGAGAGCCAAACAATATTAAATCTGTTCAATGAGTCAGTAGCAAACCTGTGTCTCTTAATTTAAACTGACGAGTGCTGCATTAGGGATGGCAGGAGAGCAGCACTGAGTATTTTTCATGTTCGCTGTTGGGTAGTTTCATAGTGGAGTTTTTGTAAATAACAGTAATAAATTCTTAGCTTTTCAAATACATTTTCTTTAAATAATTTTCAGTAAGTGTAAGGTAAATATATAGATAGGTGCAGTTTCTTATAAAAATACTCAAAAAATTTTAACACTCAAAAAATCAAAATTACCTTGGCAGTATTGACAGTCTTCCAAATGATGAATTACCATCAGTGGCTTGTTACTTTATTAATAATAATAAAACATGTAGTTAGATCATTTGACAAGTATACAAATGGGAGATTTTACTAGCAGACTGGAAAAGGCAAATTACATTTAATCTTATGCTAACCCACAGTAAAACAATACAGACATTCCATAAAGAATTACAGACATTTTTGAGCAAGGGAAAAGAACATAACTACTTCATAAAAGAAAGAAATGGAGAAATAGTTTCTATATCTAAATAGGTTTTCTAAAGTAAGAAATTGTAGAAGAAAGAAACAACAGAACCATCATCATTTCATTCCCAGTTAGTATATAATCAGACTGGAGAGGTATTTAATATTGCTTAGGTGTGATGTTCTCCACGATTAAGAAAATAAAAATCACCTGTATGAACTGGAATAAAACAATTTTTGTAAAATTGGGTTTATCATCGAATACTTCCCATGAAAAGTTTAATGTATTTTAAGCTTTCTTGAACAGATATACAATAAATTATTTTTTCTGTAAATAGTTTGGTAAAGTATCAAAATTTTATATCTTTGGATGTCAAAAAATAAAACAATTCTGTGCATTTTCTCCTGCATTTTTTTAAACTATTGTTACTGTTCAGTAAATCAGTTACTAATGCTTGATCTACTATGACTGTCAAAAGTTGTTCAGTTCCTAACCATTTTCACATAGGGTACATGAAATTAGTTGCTTTTAATTTAAAAATAATTTGCCTTAGATTTAATAACAGCTTATGCTACACTATTATGATCTAGAATGAACTGTAATAGTGATCTAAATGAGTATTGTTATGAATTCTCAAATATATTTTCAGCTGAATTTCAGAGAAGATTCAGATTGGAACTTTCTACCAGGATAGTGAGAAACTGTGAGTACATCATGCACATATGCCAACTAATAAAGTGTTGGGGAAAACATCAGAGGCAGTAGATCACCACGCAAGACCAAATGTAACTGATTTCCAGCTGTTGATTAAGGAAGTAATCAGAGCAATAATGACATATTTATATATAAAAAACGATGCATTTTAAAAATTGTAATATCTATTTATCATTGCTTATTCAAATGACAATACTTCTGTTGTGACAAAGAAACAACAGTGTTAAATGCAGAGTTGCCTATTGGCCCATGATGTTGCTTCAGAGTCATAAGACCCCTGCAACAACTTTTATTTATAGACAATAAATCTGTTTTATTTAACTGGGTGGCCTGCAGATCAGCTGTCATGGTGTTTCTTTGTTCTGTTTCATTATAGTATATTCAGGCATGACTGCCTGATTAACAACTTTGTCTTTTAATCTCTTACCTTTTTTTTGCTCGATAAAGCCCTTCTTCATAAGTTTGTACCCAGGTAATTTCATCGCCCCACCCTAGAAATATCACAAAAGGATTAACTGGTGGCCAGGTAAGTAACTCATAACAAATTACATTTTTTATATTTATCAATAGTTCTACACAAATAGGATTTGGGTTTTTCCAGTCAAAGTTTCCCAAACATTGTGGATATACTAATGCTGCATCTCCTGATAGGTGCACTGGAAGATTAAAAAAACCCACAAACCAACCCCCCCAAAACCTCAGCTGGTTGAGTATCCAGTTCAAGTTCTCTAGCAAACATATTAGATCTCTTTCTGAATACTCAGAATACTAAATCAGCACCCAAATCCTTTATATATTTATATTGTCTGCTCCATATTTCATGTAGACCCTGGGGCTTAAAGAAAAAGTTGGCTTATAAAGTTAGAGAGAAAAATAAAATATGGCAGCTCAAATAAGATCGACTTTAATATGAACGTTGTTAGAATAGTCTTGGGTTTTAAGCTTAACTCTTAAGCCATGAATTTCAATCCCTGGCATTGCAAGTGTGTATAGTTTAATAAAAGAATGGCTGTTAAACAAAAATCTCCATCTAAACAAAATCCTAATGAATCATCAGCTTCATAGTTCATCCATAACTGGTGATACACTGATCTCAAAAAGGAAATTGCGCAGTTGGTTTTATGCCTTCAGATCCCAAAGATGCCAGCCCCTCCCAGGCAATGTTGCTCCATTCATGACGGCCTTCATGGGAATTGTAGAAGAGCTTCTGGATCTGGACCAGGTTAAGGCTCTGTTTCTTCTGTGCTGTCTGGACAGCACTTGGACCAGCCCTGGTTATGCAGAGATTTGCTGTTAGCTTTCTTACGGGACAATTGCTTGTGACACTACTAGGTCATCTCTTCTTTCAGGAGAGTGATTTCAATTACAGATCTGTCTGGTTGACGGTGGGATTCTGGCATGTTGACTAGTGTGTTCCCAGCCCTGGCTGAAGTCAACTGCTGACGTAGGTAACTGCACAAAGGAGTCAACTAGGGTCATTTTGCAGCAGGTCTAAGTGTTTCCCTTTGATCTGCGAAAATTACAGGTAAAGCACTCAAGGCATCCCAGAAGGCCTGAAATCAGAATTAGAAAACTGATGCTTTCTGTGACTATTTCTTTCAAAATTGCCAGAATTGAAGGGATTTTGTTATCTTTTTATTCATTTAGGCTTAGTGGGAAAAATAAATCCTGATCTAGGCAAGATAGGCGATAGATACCAGATTGATTATAACCTTTGTCCAGGGATACCACTTACGAGAAGTGATTTGCAATTTCTCTTTGATTAGTCCAGGTGTTGCATGATTTTGTCAAGTGCTCCCTGAGCAATTAAGCTGAGATGGGACCGCTGTGACTGGTGGGCCTTTGCCAGTGTTTTGTATGGGAAGACCTCAGAGGTGAGCTGTGGGGTCTGCAGGCTTTGCACAGCTTGCAGAAGAGCTCAGGGAGGGAGTTGGAGATTTTTTGGGGGGAATAGGCCTGAAAGGAGAGGAAAGATGGAGAAGAGGAAAAGACCTCAGTAAGCTCTTTCTCTGCTTGTGTTTCTAAGGATTGATCAGGCATAAATAACTTAAAATAGGGTCTTTAGTTAACATCCAGGTTGAAAATTATGCACCGCAAGGAAGTGAATTATTCACTGCAAAGCATGACTGTGACTATCTGATGAAAAGCAAAAGCAAAAAAAAAGTCACGCAGAAAAACCCACCAGTAGCTCATACTGTTGTTCTGTCTATAAAAATGGGTCTGTAGAAAAATGGTTCCATAGCAACTGAAGTTATGAAACTGTGTTTCAGTAGTTAATAAGTTACCATAACAAAATATCTTTTAACTGGTATATGAAAGAATATTTCTTCACTGATAGTCCTACAAGTGCATCCTGATTTGAGAGACTCAGTTTAGGTTATTGGCTTCTACTAGGTCACTGTGAGTTGTATAAATTATGCAGGTTATATGAGGCCCTCAGCCGTATCCTTAAGAACAAACTGATGGAGTGAAATGACATGGAATAAGAAGATGCACTACTTAGACTGTCACTTAACACTAGAGAAACCCACCTCAGTAAGTATATATGTGCTTTCAGATATATTCTAAATAAAAATGTTTGCTGACCTATATGGGAAGATGAGGAGGTAACTACATAAAGTAAATATACAGTACCTCTTGACAGTGTCTGAGGTGCTCTTTTTTCCTTCTTGATTGCCATCGCAAGGTTGGAAGAGACTGCAATTAGCAGGAGGGACAGGGCCAATGTTGAATGGAGCATTATTTCTTTGAGAAGATCCCTTTCAACGCCGCAAGGAAACTGGAAAACAAAGCAACAGCTTTAATCACATGGATTCGTCACCTGATGCAGTGTAAATCAATGTGTTAGTGGTATCCTAACAATCTATACTACAGAAGTAGTTTTGGTTATTTCTATAAATGCCTTTGTGAGAAAAGTGCAAAACAGAGGTGCTTAATTTTATCATGCAGCACTGCTTTCAGTCATCAAAATTAGGCTGCAGGGGACAGTTCTCATGACAGTGTGATTGGGGGAACAAAGTTCCTTTCACTCATTTCTGGTCACCCGACATTTGTTTCTTAAGAACTGGTACAACATTGTAATACTGGACCATGAAAATTTCAAGGCAGTGCTACTAGTTGTTCATTCTGTTAGTTTTTTAATTTCAGTGAAATGTAACAGCATGGGATCTTTTTCATGGATAGTAGGTTTTTTGGTCAAAAGACGTCTCATGATATTCTCCTTAATAAAATAGGAAAATTGACAAGTATTTGCCTCCAGGTATAATACATTTTAAATCGGCAAATCCCTCCAGAATGTTGAAATTGCCATCGGTTTTTTTAGCCTGCACTCTGTGAACCAGGATGTTAAAGATGGTAAGATAAATGTCAAAGAAATTTCCACCTGTTTCTCACAATGAAAACTCAAAAAATTTCCCCATTCTCCATGGCATTTTTAAACTGATTTTCAGCTCAAGTCCTGCTTAATAAGACAATCCATCACAATCCATCAACTCCTGGCTATTTCAGTATTCTGAAGGTGTTTGCTTCTCTTCCTGACAAAGATCATTATAAGAAATTCAGTAACTTCTGGTCTTGATAAAAGTCAGAGAAAAAAAAGCAACGGTTGAGGAAAAGCATTATAAAGCCAAATTTTTTTAATTGATAAGTCTTCTTTCTGCCCAGTACAATCATCTTTAGGCATTAAAGCTCGGATATTCAGGTGGATACCTGATGATTTGAACTAAGTTAAAAAATATAATGCATGTAGCCCAGGATACCACCCAGTCCACTTATCAGTTCTCACGGGATATTCCACTTTTCAGAGGCTGAGCTTTAGGAGTTACCAGGATGAACTGTTGAGAAAGTGCTGTGACTTAAATAAAAAAAAAAAAAATCCCCCAAAGCACTTGTGCCTGTACTGATAAAGAAAATTTTAAACTTGAATTTAAAAGCGATTAATGCATGTAGCCCAGGATACCACCCAGTCCACTTATCAGTTCTCACGGGATATTCCACTTTTCAGAGGCTGAGCTTTAGGAGTTACCAGGATGAACTGTTGAGAAAGTGCTGTGACTTAAATAAAAAAAAAAAAAATCCCCCAAAGCACTTGTGCCTGTACTGATAAAGAAAATTTTAAACTTGAATTTAAAAGCGATATCCCATATGGAACAGCAAAAGAAGATGCTTCATGCTTCTTAGGACAGAGAGGCATGAAAAGTGCAGCAGCTTTTATCCTTACTTTAATGAATTCCTCAACATTACTAACATTACTGTTAACAGTTCAATTTCTGGTGAACAAATTCAAATACCACTTCCAGTAGCTGGCAATCTCAATACAAGAAAGCTATTCTATTCAAGTGACTGGAGAAAAATTTGCACATTAAACTGTGCAAAATTTTAGAAAAAATGAAGTATCGTCTTATAGTAAGAATTCTATATTTCTGAAGGTTGCTAAAATAATTAATACCTCCATTATAATACTTTTCTCCTCAGTCTTGTCCACAACAGTTCCCTTTCTCCCCACATGGCATCACAACTCTAGAGTTGTTCTTTGTTTCACATACTTTCCGCCTTAGGCTCGTTCATGTTAGCTATTGTTGATTGAGTTTTAGAAGGGAGTCTCCTTTGGAGCTTATTAATTATGCACATTAATTTGATGGTTGGAGATTATGGATGTTTAATAAGAAAATGTGAAGTTTCCCAGTGTTTCCTAAGGAGAGACTATAACTTTTAGTTAAGTCTGGGGGATGAGGATTTTTTGGTAATAAAAATTCCATTCAAATTTTCCCCATGTTTGTGCAGACCACTAACTTCAGTCAGCAAAAGCAGATCATTACACCCTACTACTATACTCCTGACAAATGAGTATTTCTAGCAACTCTATGTGGAAGTTAATAACTATCTTTAGTATCAGTTTACCTATTAGATGTTAACAATAAAACCTAGTATTTCTATTAACATGTTACAATGCTATTTAAACATAAATAGTTATGGCTTTGAAATCATACCAGATAATGCCTCTATAAAGCAGGTACGGAATGCGTGAATCAGTTTCTTTCTTTCATGAAACAATCAAAGTGTAAATCTCTTCAAGGCACAGGATTAATTATCTGATGCTTAAATAATTGATTATCATCCTATTGAAAACCAATAGGTTTTTTGAAGGATAATTCATGGAGCTGTAGCTGGAGGCAGTTTAAATTCAATATTCTGAATTTTTGATGTTACATGATCCAATGTTACTTAATTAAGAGAAAAAATGACAGCCAACACCATATAAATTGCCTTCATCTCTCTGTCTGAACAAATGTTTTGCTAGCTAATCTCTAAGCATCTATCACTTGTCTTTTTCATATAACTAGGCTTGTAATGCATTTGTCAACCAAACCTCATTGCTGTGTTAAAGGAAAGTTAAGAATGAGAAATATTTGCTCACCTGCTGCGACTAATTCTCCTGATGGAAGGTCCTTTTTCTGGAACTAGTTACTTAAAAATCAGTATGGTTTAAGCACAGAACACCTGAGCTGCCCAGGTCTCTGTGTAGCAACAACAGCACATTCACCTGGGGAAAAAATGAGAGGAACCTTTTAGCTGAAAACCAAATTCACGTGTTTCCACCCTCCCCCTTCCTTTTCTGCCATCCCTCCAACTTTCGCTCTTGTGAGTTCCCATGCTTATACACTGGATCCTTGGATTTCTCTTCATCTTGGCTTGTATCAGGTGTCTTGTATGAGGATTGGAAATAAATAGTGGCTTATGTGTGTCTGCTACTTCCCCCCTCAAACAGTTTGAGTCTGGCTTATGTCCAGTGAAAAAAGAAACCACCAATGAAAGCTGGAACTGTAGGTGCTTTTGTTCCCAGTGAATGGCTGGGTTCACTGGTGCTTGAAGATAGGTATGAACCTAATAGGAAGACACAAGGGTTACTTTGTGTAGAGGAATGTAATTAACAAATAAAAAGAACTTCATTTTTTTTGAGGGGGAAATAAAATTATTTAAAGAATATGGTTTAAAGTATCTGATTATTGCTTCTCTGAATTGTAGTTTAAAAATGGTCTGATTCTTTGGACATGATGCTTGATATAATTTTGACCTAACTTGACTAATACAGGAAAAGTCCTTTATTCATCATCTTTGCACAAAGAAGGAATTAACTGGATCACCTTTTCCCTCCTCCCTGGATAGCTTTTGCAAGAGAACCAGAAGCAATACTCTTTTGGTTCTTCCTCTCCCATGTATTTGTTTATATGCACTGTATGGTTACACTTTTTCCTCCTCCTTTTCATGTAAAGTCTGAATTCTTATTTGTCTTTGATGCTTTGATCTACTGATGTTTGTTGTCACTGACATGTATATGATTAATGACGTACGGTTCTTGTATTATGTATTATCAACTATTTTTGTACCAAAAAGTGCAAAATGTGACTTTCTGTATTTTCAGTGCTGAGTTATCTTTAACATTTGTAATGGAGAATTCAAACTCACATTTCCAGTTAAAAAAATATGGTAACTGTATTTAAATCCATAATACACTTAGCTCCTGGAATGGCTGAAAAAGCAAGGAATGTAGTTTGGTTACAAAAGAAATGCGGGCAGATATTGAAATCAAAGTGCTATATTGCATTTCTTCATTTAAATTTTAAGCAATTAAAAAAGACTATCTGAAGTCAAACCAAGGATGATTTAAAGAACCTCCCTCCACCCGAGCTTTGGGCTTTCACATAGAAATTCCAGGCGCTGAAACTTCAATTCTTCTTACTCTTCAACTAATTACAGGTCATTAAGTAATTAGAAATACAGAAATTTTCCAAGTGTACTGAACTGTATTGCTGCTCAACCCTGAGATATTGTGCTCTTCACCGCACAGGTTTCTTATCGTAAGGAGTAATGGGGTAGACATTCCATCAAATAGATTAAAATTAGTGCTGAGCTACCTGTGAGCGCCCTTATTTGACAGGACAATGTTCAGCAATTTGTCTTCTATGCTCTATATTTGAAGATCAGAATTTCAGCCTTTGTCAGTCTTGCCACGGAGAGGTTGGCAGTCCTGGTCAAATAGACCTTGTCAAGGTTTAATACTGGAAGAAAATGACTGTAATACTCTATAAATCCAAGCTGGATGCCTTCACTGTACCTATTCAGTCACTGCTTGTTAGGTGGGACCTTATCAGCTCTCTGTTCCTGCTTTCTTCTGCATGTGTTCAGCATCCACACCTGAACCGTGTGAAGCTAGAGCTCATACTAGAAGAGATGCCTTCCTTCCCAGCCGCCAGCTGCGCTGCCTGACATTCAAATCACCGACCTGTGCAGCAGCAGCTACCAGCCAAATATTGAATCTCTGCACTGAGAACACGTTTCTGCACTCATTCATTGAATTGGCGTGCTCTTGTTCATTGAACTCGGCTCGCTTAGTCTCCAGGATAATGTGGGCGGAAGTTGTTTCCATTTTTCTCTTCCATTCTAAAAGATGCATTTTGGAGGTACGAGTAACTGTGGGTTAACTGTGTATATACAGTTGTATCCAGGTCAAAATTAAGAAATGTAAGAATTAGCTAAATACAGGGCAGAGCAGGGCAGCAATAAAGCATGTGAAGAGGACAGACTTCTAGAAAGAGAAAGACATTGGAGAATAATTGACACTTGGAATAGCGTGCCACTGCTTTCATGTGAGTCATGCAGCAGCAGATTTAGGTACGTATCAGCCCATTCATGAAACGTGAAACCGAGTTTTAAATTTTGCTTTACATAGTGCTGCACAAA